AAGGATAATAAGGTATCAAGAAGTGACAGACATCTTGACCTGGTGATATTAACAAGATGACATATTGATGAAACATTTTGAGTTCCCAGGGTTGGAGGTATCATAGAAATTATTATGGATTTATAATACTGCTTAATGCACTGGGGGACCTGCTCCATTTCCTGGAGAGTCTTCTGAAACCCTTTGCCTTGGGGAAAACTAATGGCTGACATTTGCCGTATCAGGTCTTTTAAATATTTGGTTAGAATAATCAGATGCAACACTCAAAGTATTTAATAACTGGGAGAAAGTGTACTTGTGTAGGTGTGTATATTATTAAAAATTACCAATCAGAGAGTGCCACTAGTCCATCAGAAGTTGCCCTAGGGTAAGATCCAGTAAGGCCACTCACAGCATGGCAATGTCCAATAAAATCATACCAGGTGAGTATCATCAGCTCATTATGATCCCTTTGTGGGCCTTTTTTTAAAAAAAATAAAACACTGGTTGCATTTATAAGTAATACAATGTTACTTGGGCAGGTTTGGCATTTGGGGGGTGAAGGAAAAGTTTACTAGTCCAACAGTTGCTCTCCTGACGTTTTAGTATTTTCAGTCACCTATAAGAGTTATAGCCTACAAGGACATGTTTTTATTATCACATAGATCAAGAGTTAAATACAGTACAAATTCATGGAAATCATCGGGGTTTCAGGTATTCAAGGACTAATTGGAAAATACTTTGATCCTGTCACCTGGCTAACACTAGCAATTTTCACTATGTAATTACTACCGTAAACAATTCAAAGGGCACATTTTAAAGAAATAATTCTTTTAAGTGGTATTGTTTTCTTGGTTACTTATTCCAAACGCTGCATTGCTCCCCACCCCTTACCCTCACAAAAATATCTCCTGACATTTTGTTTGCTAAGTTGTACATTTGGTAAATGTTTCTAGTTGCTTAGGGCCTAGTTTAAATAGTAAAATAAATAAGGGCAAAACTTTGTTGGCTTTTTAAGGAAAAAAGTAATGGATCATGCAAAATCAGCATAAGTGTTTTTAAAAGGCGTATTGAAAAACCATGTCCCAAATTAAATGAATACTAGAGTATTCTATTCTCATTTACTCATTCCAACAAGGACTGACTCATGTTTCTCTAGACAAAGTAAAAAAAAAAAAATCCCGTTTCGGGCAGCAGTTGTCATTGAGTATGGGATTTAATTGGAAGAAAACATAGGGAAATGCTAAATGTGGCTAGTGTGATTTGCACCTGTGTAAACAAGCAATGCCACCAGCCAGGCAGATCTTTGTCCTTCCAGCCAAGGACGTTTTTTTTCCCCCCCTATACCACCTCTCCTTGGATTCATGGGAAAAAAATTTAGATTTAGTATAGTACTGTGAGGGATGTGTTGTGTAGAGAAAGATTGTGAGAGGGAGGATTTGCTGGGGGATAGTGACAGTAGCTAGGGAAACCATTTGGCTAGGGAAGGAGCTTTAAGAATGGCTTTCAGAATGTGGTTCTCAGCAAGTGCCCCCTGGAACCGAACCACAGCATCAGCATCATTTGACAGCTTTGTTAGAAATAAAATTCTTGTGCACAATCCCAGACCTCCTGGATTAGAAACACTGGGGCGGTTCCAGAGGGTTGTCTGAGTAAGCCTTCCAAGTGATCCTGGTGCCACTGAGATTTGGAACAACTACCTTGAAGGACAGTGAAGACCTGCTTGAGTGACTGGAGAATAGGGATAATCCACAAAGAATCTCAGCTAATGACAACTTGGTGCCTTTGTTTCTGAGAGGTTATGAGCCTTCAAGGTCATAGCTGCATAAGGCATCATTCCTGGTTTTTATGTGGTTGAGGACTTCTACCTACATTCCATTTGGTTATAACTATTTTTCATATCAACGGTTATTTACCTCAAAGGAATCCTCAGTACATATTGCTCATTTTGCTCTTTCCTTATAAAAAATAAAAGAGTTTAGGTAGTTTACTAAGTTGATTTTTGAAAAATATATTTTATCTTTTCGGAAATATTTTTCCATTTAAACATTTGTTCCTCATTTTAATTTAGTTTGTTGCATTTTGCTGAGGAACTTGAGCTCAGCTTTTCTACCTCAAAGTTTTGGCTACTTACACTGTGCTAAAGACTTTTAATTTTGGACATTATATTTGGTAAAATCAACCACAGCATTTGGAAGGTCTGCCAGGAAATTTGAGGTTTCAGTGCAATTTGAATATTGCATAATTCAACATTTTACCCATTTTTTCGATGTAGTTTCCCTAATCAGGGAAAAAATTGTTATTGCAACATTAGATTGTTTTAAGCATGCCACCTTATGAGACAATTTTTGAATTTATTTAATTATCATGCTTGGAAACACATGATTCCCTCCTTTTCCTTTTCTTTTTCTTTTATTCATTTTCCCTCTTTTCCATCTTGTTTTAATTTTTTCTTTCGTTTTTATAGATCAGAAAAGGCTTTTGGTTTCTTTAAAAAATAAAATAAACTACTTGAAAGGAAAAAAAGTCAAGAACTAGAAAGAAGAGTATAACAAAAAAGAAGGAGGGGTCACAGGAGAAGGAGATGTGGTCAACACACACAAAGGAGAACAAAAAATAAGGTTTAAAGTAGCTGGGCTGGGCATGGTGGCTCATGCCTGTAATCCCAGCACTTTGGGAGGCTGAGGTGGGCAAATCACCTGAGGTCAGGAGTTTGAGACCAGCCTGGCCAACATGGCAAAACTCTGTCTCTACTAAAAATACAAACATTAGCCAGGACTGGTGGTAGGTGCCTGTAATCCCAGCTACTCTGGAGGCTCAGGCACAAGAATCCCTTGAACCCAGGAAGTAGAGTTTACAGTGAGCCGAGATTGCACCACTGCACTGCAGCCTGGGCGATGTAGCGAGACTTTATCTCTAAATAAATAAATAATGATAATTAAAAAAATAACTGGAAATGTGAACTGGAAGGTGGGACAGTCTCAGAAGTTACATTGGGAACCTTGAGTCTGACATAGGATATGTGATGTCCTAAGTTATGGGATGCATGCAGTAGTTATAACATGAACAAGTAACTTCTGGTCAGTGGCTCACTTGCTATTTGACCTTGTGGTTTAGTTACGTTCTATTGCTGAGATTCTGAAAGTCATATTTATAACACCTATTTTTCAGTGTTGTCATGGGATGAAGAGAAATTATATAGGTAAAGAAGACTGAGTCCCAGACATGAGATATTGACTACTAGTATGTGTTCATACTTTCAGTTGTGATTCATCTGTTTCAATAGTTGTATGATACTTCATTGCGTTAGTATGCCAAAATTTATTGATCCACTTATATGGCAAAGGATATTCTGGGGAATATCCTATGGATTTCAGAGTTTTTTGATAATATAATGAATATTCATGTATATTTCTTTGATGCACATCTGCAGAGTTTTCACTGAAACAAATAACTGGGATTGGAATTGTTGGGTACTAGGCTGTAAGCATATTTCCTAGACAATGTCAGATTAAGTTCCAAGTGATTGCACACATTGACACTTCCACGATGACTATATGGGCTTTCCCTTTGTTGCACTTATTTGTCAATAATTGGTGTGGCTAGACTAAAATGTTTGCAAATTTTGTAGGTTAAAATTGTGTTTCTTAGGGTTTCATTTTGCATTTTTCTAATTACCAATGAGATTGATCATATTTCCATATATCTAGGGATCATTTGTGTTTCCATTTTTTGAGAAATGTTCATTCACAGAATTTTTTCAAAAATTTCTATGGTGCTGTTTTATTTTGTTTATTGATTTGTGGGAATCTGATATATTTTGGAATCCCATTATTTTTCCTTTTTCAGTCATGTGCAATGAAAATAAATTGTCCCAGTTTTGGCTTGTGTTTTTACTGATGTCCTTTGATATGTAGGATGTCTTATTCTAATGTGTGGTTTTATTTTTTAGGATTTGCATATTGCATAAGTGTGTGTGCCTTGTTTAAGAAATTCTCTCCTTCCCAGAAAACATAAAGACAACCTCTAGACTATCTTTCAAATTTTAAAGGTTTTTTTTCACTTTTGGATTTTTTAATCCTTTGGCATTTATTTCTGTGCACCAGATGAGATAGTAATCAATGTAATTTTTTTTAAGCGTACACAACCAATGGCAACATCACTGTTTAATGAATAATCCACGATTTCCACACCACTCTGTATGGCCACCTGTGTCATGTATCAATCCTTCATATAAGGGTGGGTCTGGTTCTGAGATCTCTATTCTATGTCCTTCATCTATTCATGTTCCACTTCCATGTTGTCTTACTTAAAGCCTATTTATAATAAATGCTGATATCTGATAGGTAGTGCACATTACTTCTGTCTTGCTTTTCTTCTGGATTATCTTGAGTATTAGCGCCTTGTTTTTCTATATAAATATTAAAATAGTTTAAGAAGTTATTGTTGCTGTATGTGTTGTTAAACACAACATGCTTCAAAACAATATGTTGTATGCAATAAGTACATATAATTTTATCCATTAAGACACAAATAAAATTTTAACTATTAAAAAGTAAGTAACAAATACACATATACATTATATGCAATCTTTCTTGGAACTGCATTGAAAGTATACAAGGATTTAGGGGAAAATTTTTAGTTTGTGATATTTAGTCCTCCAATCACCAAACAGGAAATGTTTATTTACTGAGTTTTTGACTTACTATTTTTTTTATTGTTGTTGCTGTTGTTGTTGTCCTTGGAATTCTCATTAATTACTTTTATACGGGATCAGTAATACATTTCCAGATTTGGTTATTGGTATTAATCTGGAATTTGAGCATTTTTTAGTGGAGTGCTAATACGTATTTTAATATATCTAGTCAAGTATCCTACCAGGAGTAGAAGATTTATATAGAGGATTTTCATATGCAGTTCTTTATAGAAATATGTATGATGTCTTTGAGCTTATTTTTTCTGCCAGCATGCATATGTATGCTTACAAAAAACACATATCTATTTACTCTGTAGGTGGAAAAATGCTAATCACTGAAAGAAAACATTTTTTTGTCAGGAAGAATTGCACAAAGTAAGTCTGAAGCAAATTTGGTTGACATGGAAGCTGGAAAACTCTCAAAAAGTTGCAATATTACAGGTATGGGAATTTATTACTGTTGTGATTTGTCCATGTAAGTATATGAAATTCATCACCAATAACTGTTGAAGGTCTACCTCTGAAAATGCTTTGGAAGATGGAAAGAATTATAAAATCTTGTTTTTACCATAAAAGTAGTTAAAAAGGTGTGGAAAATAAAATAGTGCAACCAACAGATTATGATAAATATTATAAAAAGGAAAAATGTTGTTAATAAATGAGTGTTCTACGCAATAACTATAATAAATTTGGGGACAAAAAGGCTCTCTGAAGGTTGGTCGACCTAGGAAATCTTCGCGGAGCATCAAAAAAATTAACCTGATACTCAGAAGAAAAATAAGTTTTAAGAGAGTTAGGGGATACTGTATTAAAAAGTGTGAAAAGTGTGAATGTAAGAGAAATGCCATCTTTATTTTTCAAAATCCAGCTTCTAATTTTTAGCATATAACACTTAAAAACATTTCATTCAAGACAATGGTTCTATGTCTATTAAACAAAAGAAATTCTGACATTTAGCTTGAATTATTTTTTCAGTAGAACTTCTGAAAATTTGGTTGGCTATTCTGCCTGTCTCTAAAAGCAGCACTAGCTTCACAAAGTCTGCAGAGTCTTTATAATTATTTACTAAGAAATGAACAAGTATGAGTTGCTCTACACACAAAAAAAATGGCTTCAATGTTTTGAGCTGTCTAGAAATTCTTATAATAGAAGTGTAAATATTTTAATGTTACAAATTCTTAAGACACTTACTTTCCAAAGTAATAATGCTTCAATTTCTAGTGGTAAAATTATTATTTGCCATTGCAATCTTGAGTGCAACAAATTCCTTTGATCAATAAAACCAGTGATGGTCTAAATTTTCAATGTTCATTTTATTAATTCCTTTTCCTGAAAAATGTTCATATTATTAACATTTTTCAATAGAAAATTATCATAGAATTATCTAATAAATTAATGACTTTCTAATTTAGTATATTGTTTTAAATATTATTTTAAATGTTAACAGATATATTTGATATTTTCTACATATTGAATATTATCTGAAAAGGAAAACATTAAATTAATGTTCTGAATGTAATGAGACCAACAATCCAATGTTTAGAAAAATGTGGATAATTGAATAACTGATTTATTCTGTTTGACCAGAAATTTGCATTTGTAAACATGATACATAAAATAATAAAGCACAAACACATGCTAGTCTGAGTCATTTTCAAGAAAATGTGCTAAATATATTATTACATCCTATTAAATATTTATTTGTTTAGTTTATAAATCATGATGTCTTAAAATAGCATTATATATGTTCAAAAAATAACCTGGTAAAAAAAATATTCTTTTCTCATTACAAGCAAATTTGGCCAAATATAACATTGAGTTTGTGTTAGCTGGTAGACTAGACATCAGAAAGAAAAATGAAAAGTAAGTCCTGAATTTTTAAGCTATGGGAAAAATTAATCTTGATTATAACTCTGAATGCCACCTTATCTTTGTTTTGCTTTGTCTTTCCTTAAATAACAAGAATGCCAGGATCCAGACTTGCTTCACAGTTGGCCGGATGCTTTCACCCTTCATGGTAATAATGCTTCCAAAGTTACAAATCCATTCTGGAATCAACTGTCTGCTTCTAACCCATTTTTGGATGACGTAACTCAGCTAAGAAATAATAGGAAGAGAAATAATATTTCCATCTTAAAGGAAGATCCTTTTCTTTTCTTTAGAGAAATAGAAAATGGGAATTCTTTTGATTCCTCCGGTGATGAACTTGATGTGCATCAGTTACTTAGGCAGTCTTCCTCAAGAAAATCTGGAAGATCTAAAAGCGTTTCAGAACTTCTGGACATTTTAGATGACACAGTACATTCCCATCACAGTATACATAACTCTGATCAGATTCTACTACAAGACTTAGAATGGCTAAAAAATGACCGAGAGGCTTACAAAATGGCTTGGTTAAGTCAACGCCAGCTGGCCCGCTCCTGCCTTGATTTGAATACAATTAGTCAGAGCCCTGGATGGGCCCAGACACAACTTGCTGAGGTCACTATAACTTGCAAAGTAAACCATCAAGGAGGATCAGTACAATTACCTGAATCAGACATCACTGTTCATGTGCCCCAAGGTCACGTGGCTGTGGGGGAATTCCAGGAGGTGTCTCTAAGGGCTTTCCTTGATCCGCCACACATGCTTAACCATGATCTTTCATGCACTGTGAGCCCATTGTTGGAAATCATGTTAGGCAACCTCAATACAATGGAAGCCCTTTTGCTGGAGATGAAAATTGGGGCTGAAGTGAGAAAGGATCCTTTCAGCCAAGTCATGACAGAAATGGTGTGTTTACACAGCTTGGGTAAAGAAGGCCCTTTTAAAGTGTTAAGCAACTGCTACATTTATAAAGACACCATCCAAGTCAAGCTAATCGACTTGAGTCAGGTAATGTATCTAGTGGTTGCTGCACAAGCTAAAGCTCTTCAGTCACCAGTTGCCACCATTTGGGATTATATCCACAAAACCACCTCCATTGGAATTTATGGACCCAAATATATCCATCCCAGTTTTACTGTTGTTTTAACAGTTTGTGGACACAATTATATGCCAGGACAGCTTACAATTTCTGATATTAAGAAGGGTGGAAAAAATGTATCTCCAGTCGTGTTTCAGCTTTGGGGAAAGCAGTCATTTTTACTTGACAAGCCACAAGATTTAAGTGTTTCTGTTGTTTCCTGTGATCCTGATTTTGAAGTAAAGACAGAAGGAGAAAGGAAAGAAATTAAACAAAACCAGTTGGAAGCAGGTGAAGTAGTTCATCAACAATTTTTATTTTCTTTAGTTGAGCACAGAGAGATGCACCTGTTTGATTTTTGTGTTCAGGTGGAACCTCCCAATGGTGAACCAGTTGCACAGTTCTCTGTCACTACTCCTGATCCAACTCCAAACCTAAAAAGGCTCTCAAATCTGCCAGGCTATTTGCAGAAGAAGGAGGAAATCAAGTCTGCTCCTTTATCACCAAAAATGCTTGTTAAATATCCCACATTTCAAGATAAAACATTGAACTTTACCAACTATGGGGTAACCCTGAAGGCAGTGCTAAGACAAAGCAAGATTGATTACTTCCTTGAATATTTCAAAGGGGACACAATAGCTCTCCTCGGGGAAGGTAAGGTAAAAGCTATTGGGCAGTCCAAAGTGAAAGAATGGTATATAGGAGTCCTCAGAGGTAAGATTGGACTTGTACACTGCAAAAATGTCAAAGTGATTTCAAAGGAACAAGTAATGTTTATGTCAGATAGTGTCTTTACAACCAGAAATCTTCTTGAACAAATTGCCCTGCCTTTAAAAAAGTTGACTTATATCTACTCAGTTGTATTAACCTTGGTGTCAGAAAAAGTTTATGATTGGAAAGTTTTAGCTGATGTCCTGGGTTACTCACATCTGTCCCTGGAAGATTTTCATCAACTTCAAGCAGACAAAGAATCAGAAAAAGTTTCTTATGTTATAAAGAAGTTAAAGGAAGATTGCCACACAGATAGAAATACAAGGAAGTTTCTGTATGAACTTATTGTGGTGAGTATTGCTTGATCATAGTAATGAATTGCCATAAAGAATTATATTAACTTGACAATATTTATAACCAAACATGTGAGAGGAGAAATGTTTAAAACTTCAACAGTCTTAAATACATTAAAGATACTTTATAGCAAATATAGTTTTTCCTACATAATCATAAAACTGGTTTCTTAAACTTGAGATTCAATTGTGATTTCCCCCCAAAACTGGATCATCTTATAAAAGAAAATTAAAAGTTCTGTTTGTGCTGGGCTTAACAGTTCAGATACGACTTATCTTCCTGTCTCAAATATTTAGACAGCTCTTAAGATACCAGAGAGGCTCCATAACATGAAAGCAAGCTAAAGAAAACTAACTTGGCCATTGTTAGAGATCACTTTTCAGTGTGTGTGGGATTTTTTCTTTTCTTTTTTTTTCTTTTCTTGTCTTTTTTTTTTTTTTTTTTTTTTTTTTTTTTTTTTGAGACAAAGTCTGGGTCTGTCACCCAGGCTGGAGTGCAGTGGCATGATCACAACTCACTGCAGTTTCAACCTCCAGGGATCAGCTGCCCAAGTAACTCAGACTACAGGCAGGTGCCACCATGCCTGTGTATTTTTCGTTTTTTTTCTTTTAGGATTGGGGGTCTCATTATGTTTCCCAAGACACTCTTGAGCTGCTGGCCTCAAGCAATCTTCCCACCTTGGCCTCCCAAAGTGCTGAAATTACAGCCATGAGCTGTAGCCACCACACCCGGCTATTTCTTTTTTTAAAATGTATTACCAATATCCTTTAGCAATTTAATATTCTTATGTATGCAATGCATTACAGCCCAAACAATGATATTAGTATTCTCATCTTAATCCTCATGTTTAAATAGGATTCTTAGGGTCAAATTCTTTAACGTAGTATCCAACCCAGTGGAAGGCTCAATGGAGAATTACAAAGTACTTTTTACCTTTAAAGTAGAAATTCAATATTTTATACAAATAAAAAATATCAAGAGCATATTTCTAAAAATGGTTAAAACATGAGTGCAAAAATAATGATTATCAATACTTCTCTAGTGCTCATTTAGCCATTAACAACTCTATGGGGTTAAATATAGCTAGTATCTTCATCTTACAGATGGAAGAAACCAAGTCTTAGAAAGTTAGGCAATTTGCCCAAGTCCTATAGCTGCCTATTCTTATAGATGGGATTTAAATATTTTTTGGTTTCATGCTTAAAGCCACTATGCCTTCATGAAGCAAAGTAATGTGTGTGTGTATAAAAATGTTTGTATAAATACTATATATGTGTATGTATGTGTATTAAATATCATTATAATTGTGAAAGGCTGGTGCTCTGTAGAAGGTAAATAAAATTATATAGGCAGGTTCATGCAAATGGGCAAAATTTTAATCAAGATGCAAAAGAAGTAGAAAATATTTGGAGGACAAATTTAATCTGTGGCATTAACAATGAGTCATGTAATAAATAAATATATATAACATTATCTGTCTTGCAATATTTTTGATGATTCTACAGTGATACTTAGAGGAGCTGAAATTCAAAAGTTCCAATATCCAGTTGCTAAGTTGATAGATTTTTTATGGTGTGCTGCATTCTTACCTACCCTGGGATATTCAGAACTACTGGAGACTGAATGTTAGAAGCTGCCCTACCTGGTGGAATCTGCATGTGCATTTTGTAATAGGTCATTAACTCTCATAGCTCATATTCAACATTCACCTGCAAAGGTTTGAATTGGAAAAATAATTTCTTTTGTTCTTTTAGTGGCCTAAAAATGTTGTAATGGCCACAGGTCATTAATGATGGTCTGAAAGTTCATACCTGTACTTTTTGGGATATGATAATTATCCGAGTGCCTCAAGTGTCCAGTTAGAAAATTTAGTAGAGAGTCCATTCAAGTGTGGAGTTTCTAAGCCTTAGTGGAGGTTTCAGGATTTCTGTATGAAGAGGCTCAGGCCTGGTTCTCTGACTGGCAGGTGATGGAGCATGGGGTATAGAGCTGTCTCTTGAAACTTTCTTTGCATAGTAAATATATATTTTCCTAGGATTGCATATTAATTTGGGGTGGCAGGAAGAGACCTGATAAGCTGAAAAAGACTGTGGGATCCAAACCCTTCAGTCATCTCTCAACATTGAGACTGGCTGTCCTTACATGCTTGACACTCTCTAAAGCACTTCAGCATCCAATTTGATTTTCACAATGATTATGGAGGTTTAGACAAAGTAGAATTAACACTATATCAATTTTTAAAATCATTAAATAGAGATATTGTGTGATGCATCTGAAGTCTTATACTATGTGGAGTTGGATTTTAAACTCATGTTTTGTGACTCCAAGTACAGATCTTTTCTCTAAAACAAGAAACTAGAATATAAAATAGTAACCCCACTCCACAGATTACTAAAAGCACCACCAGGGACCCGCTGGCTCAATATTGTTTCTCACTGAGGCTGTAACTCTTCAGTATAAAGATTTGGATCCGTTTATGTATCAAAACCATGGGTAGTCCTTCTAACTGCATACTTCCAGGGGAATGAACGTGCTATCAACTTTCATAGTTGCCTTACTTGCTCATTCATTTTTACTTATTGTTTCATATTGGTAGATAAACCCCCAAAGTGCCATTAAATAATGAGGGGCTACAAAGCATGTTTACAGTAGTTCCCCTTATCCACAGTTTCACTTTCTGTGGTTTTGGTTACCTACCATCAACCATGATTGACAAATAGGTGAGTGCAGTACAATAAGGTATTTTGAGAGAGAGAGGTCACATTCATATCACTTTTATTAGAGTATATTGTTATGATTTTTGTATTTTATTACTATTATTGCTAATCTCTTACTGTGCCTATTTTATAAATTAAACTTTTCCATAGGTGTGTATGTATAGGAAAAAACAGTGTGTGTATAAAATTTGGTACCATCTGCAGTTTCAGGTATCCACTGGGTGGCCTAGAAACGTGTCTCCTGGATAAGGGGGAGCTACTCTATTTTCTCATTTGAACAAAGAAGAAGTATGGATAGATGTAATCTCATATTTTAAAAATAGTACTCAAGGCAAAACACAAACTTGTAGACTTGTTTGAAACATGCGGTGGTTAGGTAAGAGTCTGATGGTTTTCTATTTTGCATTGTAGAAGACTAGGTGTGTGTGTGTGTTTTTTTTTTTTTTTTTTTTTAAGGAGTCTTGCTGTGTCACCCAGGCTGGAGTGCAGCGGGGCGATCTCGGCTCACTGCAAGCTCCGCTTCCCGGGTTCATGCCATTCTCCTGCCTCGGCCTCTGGAGTAGCTGGGACTACAGGTGTCCGCCACCATACCCAGCCAATTTTTTGTATTTTTAGTAGAGTCAGGGTTTCACTGTGTTAGCCAGGATGGTCTCGATCTCCTGACCTCGTGATCCACCCACCTCGGCCTCCCAAAGTGCTGGGATTACAGGCCTGAGCTGCTGCGCCCGGCCGGCATTTTGTCTTTAATACCTTGTAGTTTATGTTTAATACCATTCTATTGGTGATGAGGGAGAGTATTTTAATAAACATATATATTTTTTAAACTTATAAACATCAATAGCTTTGTTCAAAGTTGAAGGAATGTCTCTTTTTTTTCCACAACAGATATGATTCTGGGACGTTTTAAGTCATATTTTGGTGAAAATAGAATAATATTTACCATCACCAGTTCACATACACTTTAGAGAAATTCTTGTAGCCAGTCCTCTCTAGAGCAAGGCTTTATTTCTCATGAGTAAATAACCAATCCTAGATTGATAAATTAGACTGCTGGAACTTCAGAGTACCATTGGAAGTGTGTACTTTAACTTCCTTTTTTCACAATTAAAGATACAAAGACACATTATTAGTTAAGTGGTTTATCCAAGGTCCTATAATTAGCCACTGAATTAGTTCTAAATCTCCCCTAACTCTGACTTAGTTATGTCTACTGTAGTTTGCTTACAGAATTTGCTTAAATGTGAATCAACTTCTTGAGCTTTAGAAAACTCAATTACATATGTTGTGAAAAAAGGACTCCCATTTGTAGAATATGTAATAAAAATGCCAATTTATGGAGAAAAAAGCCCAAGTTAGTTGCTTTTAATTGTGACATGTAATTGTTGCTGCAGGCTCTTCTGAAAATGGATTGCCAATGGTTAGTTGCACGTCTCATCCAAGAAGCTGCTATTCTGACTTCAGCTGTCAAGCTTGGAAAAGGCTGGAGGGAACTAGCTGAAAAGTTAGTACGACTCACAAAGCAACAGATGGAGGCATATGAAATTCCTCATCGAGGAAACACTGGAGATGTTGCTGTTGAGGTAAGACTTGTTTGTGTATTTCAGTAGTGAAAAGCTGCAGACCAAGTAACACTAATGTAATCAAACCCGTACCACATTCACGGATTCACTGGGGGAGTGTCCAAGATGATCCACTAACTGAATCACTGCGCTAGTAACTCCTCAGTACTATATGAAATATACACACACTCTCTTAAAAGGCATTGAGAGCCTTTAAAATATTGATATTTCTTCTTTTGGATTTCATATTCTCATAGCCTTTGATCAATGAATTAATTGATCAAATTGGGCCAGTAAGTGGGGATGGCTATAAGAACTTGAGTCATAAAACAGGTAAATTTTGAAGGTGGGAGACAGTATCAAGTCAGGACAATAGAGAAAAGTATAATAATATGTATTTATCGGCCTCAGGCATAGACTTAGTCACTTGTGATAACTAATGCTCAGTGACAAGAAGCATTAAGAAAGTGGATATAGAGCCACTGGTGATGAGAAATAGATACCTAAGAGCTTCATTATCTCCTTCACAATGTTGCCTACAATAACTACAGGCATCAATTGCAGAATGATAGCACTTAGTACAAAGTAAATATTTACCATGAAAATATTGTTTTTATCAAAACAAATGTATGCTGTTAGGCACAAGTTAGATAAATATTTTTCTCCAGATTACCATCAAGAACTGTGAGTCAATTTTTATTGAATTAAATAAATAAAAATATTCCAGTGAAGGGCACATGTGAAATATTCTGTATCTCTCTCTTTAAATGAACAAGCATTTTGAAGATATTTATGTTTAAGGAAATCTCTGTCTTATTAGAGATGACTTGGTGAGGGCAGAAGAGGTATTCTTCACTTTGTTTTTGGCATAGAGCTGGGAATTCATTTTTGGAGAAAATTTTCTTACTTTGATGCAACCATTCCAGTTGGGTGAACAGGACAAAGCCACCTTTGCATGAAAAGTAGAGACGAATCAAGTCAGCTGAATTCCAGCAGCTGCAGTGGAAGTGTCAGCAGGCTGGTGTCTGAGTTTCTGCAGCCTGGCTCTCCAGCCAGGACTTCTCCAAAATAAGACTCTTTAGCCAGGAGCAGCCAGGGACTGAGGATGTCCTTCCCCTCAGAGACTACATTTATCTCCATAAACTTAAAAGGGCATTACAGCCCGTAAATAAGCATAATAGAGCATTCGGTGCAGTACACAAAATGGACTCAAGTGTTTACAGAATGAGATGAAAGATAGGAAGCCTGTGAGAAGGAAAAACAAATATTATGAGGGATACGCTCTTCTGATTCGGACATTTCAGTTAACTGATTAAAAAGTTGTCTAATTGAAAGCAGGTTGTCTAACTGATTAAAAAGTTGTCTAATTGAAAAGTTGTCTAATTGAAACCTTATTCTTAATAAGGTTCTGTTTTGAAAGAGTTTTGTTGAGAGTTATTTATCAGAGTTATTTATTCTGTCAGCTTCCTTAAGCATCTGGCTTCTTTCTAATTGTGGTTGTTTATAGTTTGTCTTCCCCTAAATCTTCATGGAGGCCAGCAAACCACCTACTTTTCCATTATTTACTTTTGCAGAGCCGAAATCATAAATGACTAAGTCTTTGCCTGAGGCTGATAAACACTCAGAAGGAGAAAGGAAAGCCCCTAGGTGACTTTCTATGATAGTTCAACTTATTGTGATTAATAGTAATAGTCATCACTCAGATTCATGTTATTCAATACTTAGAAAAATCCACAGTATATTGGCCTAAGGTCGTTCCAAATAATCTACAGAAATCTTACCTATGAGATCACTTAACTAATGGGTAAATATATGCTAATTTCCAACTTCCTAAAAAAAAGCTGTATAATTTTTCTGTTTGGGAGGAGATTCTTAAATATGATCAATTTACAAGTCAAGTAGTTGATTTCAAAGCACACTGATATTAGTTCTGGGTAGGGGGTGTGGGGGGGAAGTGCACTGGGGCAGGGAGATAACCAGGTCTAGCGGTTACTGGGCTGCTTTTTTTCCTGTATCTCATTTCCTCAGAGGGCATACACTGCAAAAATTGCCTTCTATGTGTGCCAATGCCTACAGTTGGGCTATTTCACTTACTTTCTCTCCTTTAAATTATTTCTCTTCCCTTTGTTCTATTTTTATTGTTTCTTAGGGAGAGTTATCTGGCACTGACTCCATGACAGGCACTGTTCTGGAAATATTACAAAAATTAACTAATGTAATCCTTTCAATAAAAACTTATGGGGCAGACACTAATATCTAAGATATAGAGAGGATCAGTAACTTGCTTAAACATACACAGCTAGAAAGTCCTGGAACCATGTTTAGAGCACAGACATTTGACTTCAGAGTCCATGACTTTAACCATTGCACTCTGTCCATCACTGTTTAATATGGTGACTAATTTGCAGAGTCAGAAGGTGTGGCCAGGGTTAAGCAACTCATTTCATCTTATATTTGTCCTCTTTTCAGGCCATGTAAAGTAGCCATAATAGTATCAAAATTTGTTTCAAAATTAAATCTTTACCAAGCCTCAAGCTGATTAAAGAATTAAGTATATTAATAATACATTTGTCAGATTTTCTGAATACCTTAATTTTTTCTAAGGTGAAGAAAAAGCCTCTCTTTGGACTTTTGAGAATGTCACTTTTTAAATTAACCACCTCCTCAAGTTAAATTTTAAGAAATGTTACTCAGTTTTTCTAATGACATGATAATACTACCAAAAAACAAAACTGTAAAGCTTGGAATCTGATAATAAACAAAGTGTATTTTTCAGAGCATTTCTTTCAGGAAAAAATGCACTTATGCTATACAAAGATGTCACTATTGCCAAGGTTCTTCCGTGAAAGTTAGTGAAAATTTATTGGAGTTTTCTGAATATATTTAGAGTTTTAATTTTTTAAAAAAGGAATCAATAGAATATTAGAAAAATAGCTGACTTTTTAAATGTTGAATTTTACAAGGGGACATGCTGGGGATTCAGAGATAAGAAATTCACTGGCCAAAATTGGGTGCTCTTCACTGAGCCTTCTAGGGATGGTTACCACAAATGACAACAATTGTTCTACAACTCCCTCATTGGCCCCCTTGCTTAACAATATAGATTATGCTATTTTTATCTCGTTTAATAAGGACGCATATTCACTGAGGACATTAAAGTTTCACTTCCTTTCTTTTTTTTTTTTTTTTTTTTTCTCTTTGAGATGGAGTCTGGCTCTGTTGCCCAGACTGGAGTGCGGTGGCACAATCTCAGCTCTCTGTAATCTCTGCCTCCCAGGTTCAAGAAATTCTCATGCCTTAACCTCCCGAGTAGCTGGGATTACAGGTGCATGCCACCATACCTGTATGATTTTTGTATTTTTAGTAGAGATGGGTGTTTCACCAGGTTGGTCAGGCTGGTCTCGAACTCCTGACCTCAGGTGATCCACTCACCTCGGCCTCCCAAAGGGCTAGCATTACAGGTGTGAACCACCGCTCTGGCCTCACTTCCTTTCTTAAATTACCTTTGCCCACTGGGCTCTACCTCAACCACAGGCACCAATAGTCCTGTCGAGAATGGTTTCTTATCCGACCTGCCAGAATGGGCTACTCTCCCAGTGGAAACCAGTGAAGTCAGTGTTCCTCATGGTAATTTTTTTATCTCAGAAACTACTCACCTGTAGAGATTCATAACTGGGAAGATGTATTTTAAGTCTTTTTGTAGTCACCATTTAATTGATGCACATCTAATTTTCCTTTGTATCTTCTATTCACAACCTGTTCCTCGTTTTCTGACTGGCTGCTAGAGAGTTCAAAGTACTTTATTCCAAGTCTAGATTAAAGATGGGAAAGTTGTTGATTTTCAAGCAGTTTTATTCATTTTATATAAGTGAATAAAAGATTCCACATGGAATTCTTTCCACTTGTTTCGTATCTTATATCTGTGTCCTAGCTTTCAGTATTTAATTCATCCATACACTTAACGATTATTCTGGGTCTATCAGTTCTGAACATTGGTTTTGGAGCCATAAAAAACACAAAATATAATTATTTTCTCCTTAAAAACCAGGTTTTATTTTGGCCTGGGAATTGGGATAAACTGTTAATATTTGAATTGTTATAATATTTCTTAAAGGTATATGATTAGATGACAATGGCGATAGTTGTAATTTACCAAGTGTTCATTGTCAGCTAGTCATTATGAGCATTTTCTTTACAATATCTCTATTATTTCAATATACTTTGTAAGGAAAACATTATGGCCATCTGCTCTTTACATATATGTAAACTGAGGGTGAATGTATTTGTGTAATTTATCCAGTTACATGGCTATTAAGTGCAAGTGCTTCGATCCGAATTCACTTTGTCTATATTTATATAAAGTCCTAACTGCTGTATTATACTAATGGTAAGTCCTTTCAAATTTAACTTATTTAAAAAATATCAAAGTGGTGAGGAGCAATTAGAAGACACATCCTAGCTTTGAAGGATGGGTGGCCTTTGAGTAATTGGAGAGGAATAGAAGTAGACTTCAGTGCTTCTAAATATCAGTGAGCTCTAGAGACCACAGAGAAGATATGGCCGGGAGGGGAGAGTTCATTTTAATAATTACTGGGGGATGTGGTCAGGTACATATGTTGGTATCAATGGAGGGGAGTCTTCAATGACTACCAGAGCATAGAGGTTAAGATTCTTGGCTGGACTTCTGTTCCACCTCTATTATCTATTACCCCTCAAGCCTTGGGCAAATTACTTTACTTTCCTGGGAATCTATTTTGTGTGTCTGTGAAGTAAGGAAAATAATACTATCTTGCTCATTGGTTGTTTAGAAGATCAAATGAGATAACAAATGTGTAATATTTGGGACATTTTTTGCATATTGCTTTCACTAAATACATATTATTTATTATTTTAACAAAGAGGAAGAGGAAAAGGTGAATTTGACAACTATATAACATTGAGTAATTTTTGAAAAATATAATAAAATACACTTTTTTTTAGTAATATGACTGAGAGTGCCTATAGGAAGAATGTAAGGAAAA